ATTTTCTGCTTGTTTATTACTACGATATACTTGTCGTTTTGTTATTCTTGGACTATGAATATCTATCTCCATTTTTTCATGAATATCACAAACCAATATGAAAATAGCTTTAAATTGACGCTCAGCATTGCTTCGTTTTTCTTCCAAAACCAAAATTACATTTTCTATAACTCCACCAGCATATTGTCTGTCGATCGATTTTGTTTGTAAAATTTTACTTACATTAACTGTTAAAGCTAAAATTTCACTCAAGCTATGAAGAGAAACAATAAATTCTGTAGAAGTAATTCCAGTTTTGAGAATCTCAGCTTTAGACGATGAATCGCGGTCTTTCCAAGTTGAAATGATTCTGAGCAAATCAACAATGCTTTCAAAGCAACTTTTAAATTGCAGCACTGATTCGTGCCTATCTACCCATCTAGTATCACAAAGAGTTTTGAGTTGAGTATTACTTAATTTTTGGCTGAGAAGGAAATTTCTTTTAGCCGATGCCCTGATACCCCTCGTGTCCTGGGGGGGGGTAATTATCCCCTTCACCCCCCCTCTTGGATGCGCGCCTGAATCAAATTCGAATAATAAAAGGACGTTCTTCAAGATGTTGCGGCATCTGCTATATTACAGCATTTAACAAACACAAATTGCACATTCAATTTAAATATTTACCATCGTTAATATTTTGGTTATTGTTATTCAAATGTTCTTCAAATAAGTTTCCTATTATTATATCATTGAACAAATATATTTCATTATTTTTCAGTGCATGAAAATATCGTGCGGAAAAGTTACTTCATCGCACTATAGTGCTGGAAAGTTACTTCTTCGCACGATTTTTGTATTGTTGAAAATAAGGATATTCAGGACTAACTGAATGATCCATGTAACTATTTTGTCTTATGTGTCATTTTGTAGAATCATTATAAAATATTGTTTATTGAAAACCTTTTTCTTTAAATGAATAATATAAATAAAAACACTCGTAGGAAAAACTTTGTATCTAACTCTTGCGGAAAATGTCTTTTCCGCCCTTGACGACTTGCCCGAACTCCGCTCCGCGTCGTTCGTGCAACTAACGTCGCTTGCGAAAATGTACTACTTTCCGCACTTGTTAGATGAATAACTATCGTAACACTTACCAAAGAATCAATTCAGTGACATCACATTTTGATCAAATATTAATTTATTTCAAATGGAACCACTATGGGCCACCTAGATGTCTCTCTAGAACATAGATTAAGGAAAAAAAATGACAGCATTTTTGAATTCCGGTGCAGTAACAAATTGTATACATTCAAAACTCAACAACTGGTTCATGAATTTTCTTGCAGTTGGGAAAATTTCAAGCAATCAAGTTGTGGAAAACAACATCTCTGAATCTTTCCCAACTTATTGTGGAAAAACTATGTTCCTCTGTTATGTGTGACTCATTGTGAATAGCCATGACCACATCTCATTTATCCCCGTGGTACAATAAGAAAAAAAACAATTTCAATTTGAGTTTTTTCGAAAACATGATATTTGTAATAACGATTTCTTTTGTTTTGACCTGTCGAATTTAATTTAAAAATTTACAGGATGTTCCATTCGAGGAAACAAATTTGCAGGCATTTTCAGGAAAACCGGAAGTCCTCCATATTAGATTGTAATGTGATGAAATCCGAAATAGTTGCTTATATAGCATGTAGATGTTACAGGGGTGACCCGATACCCTGTGCCACCCGGTATAAGTAATCATATTTTTATTCTATAGAAAAGAGGAGAGAAAATCCCAGAAATCTAGCAAAATATTATACATGTATTTGGAAATAGTGATTCACGTAACGAGTCCGGAAAATACTGTTTTTTTGGACGAGTAGACAGAATTCTAGGCCTGCCGTAGACGAGTCCTGGAAGTCTGCGAGTCCAAAAAAACTGATTTTGGAAGTGTTGTGGACACTGCTTTTCCAGCAACCATGTAGAACGCAACAAATCAATGAGACACATTTCCATATTATATTTCTTTGTAGAATACAATTTCTTATGGACATTTTCAAACTCACTATCGCAGCTACTTCCGATAGTTTATTGCGATAATTGCAACCAAACTATCAAAAATTAAAATTTTAACTAATTTCATGTAAAACAGCTATCAGCCGATATTTCGCTGCTATGGTAATCATCTTCTGCAGTAATTAAAACCATATTTACCAAGATTTTCATGGATACAGTGACAACAACGATGTAATGCTTCCCGGCCTAGTCCGGGAAGTACGTACTTCCCGGACTAGGCCGGAAAAATGCTACTTTCTCAAAGAAAAAGCGTCTGGGAAATGAGCACTTCCCAGACGGTTGCCGAAGATGATAATGATCAGAACCTACTCATAGTATCAAATGAGATTTCATACACTTGTTTTTCAAAATCGCATACCTTCACATACTAGCGGCGCTATGGCTTGAAGCGTTTTTTGTCAGTCAGCCTATATATTATGAGATTATCAAATTTGATGAGACCCATACAAAAATTCAATAAAAATAATTTTTCTCGAGGATTTGTTCTACGTTCTACTATGAACATTATAAAATATGTAACTCATAAGATGGATTGTTTTTGTTGGACCAAGCATGAATAATATCTCTATTGTTTGATTATGAAATACAATAATATTGGTTACATTAATGAACATTCGTTGTCGAAACAATATTGCCAAAACATTCAGGAATTTGGTCGGTAATTTGTTGTAATATTTTTTGATAACAGTATGGTAGACTTGTTAGAGAATAGATACAGTGCTTTCGTAAAGTACTGAATACATTTATTCTTGACAAACTTTCCATTCATGATGAATCTCCTGAAACGGGTCCATTTTTATTCTTGATTTGACACTACACTGTTTGACCACTAACTAAACCGATTCTTTAAACGTCACGGCACGTATTTCGCTAATTATGTTAGCATCTTCAGAAGGAGATTGAAACTGAGTGGTGCAACAGTGTTATTTTGATTTTCGCGCCAAAGGGTCCAGTCTTCGATATACAGGGTGTTCCAAAATTCAGTATCAAAACTTCAAGGGCCTATTTTTCAGGTTGAAATAATACTCTTTCTTCTTGTGCATGAACACGTGTCCGCAAATGCTTCGTTACTGTTCGACAGAGCATTCGAAATGTCATATTAGATCTGATATACTAGAGGAATTATACATTCATGAAATCAAATCGATGTATCAAATTTGAAACATCCATTCGAGATAGCAACGAAGATACAGGAGAAAAACTTGTTACGGGTCACCCGCTATATGCTATGTGTTTTAGAAACTATATACAGAGTTAATCAACTGTTTGGAACCATCCATATATCTCAGTAGCTAGTCGTTAGATCTAGATTAGATTCTGAATTTTTATACATAGTGAATTGGAAATCTGGCGGTTCAAAAAATTATATCGCAAATGTTGCCACGTTTCCAGTTTTTCCGGAATTATCATCAACTTCCTTATTTTAAATAGAACATCCTATATATTTCTTCATCCTTTGATGTAGTTCACTGATTCGATAGTTTTCTTCACAATATTCATTGAGATATCTGGAAAAAACGGTCAGAGTACCCTTCAATAATATCTAAAACACAACAAGAAAAAACTAATCATTTGAGTAGATGTTCGAATTGTTGTCTGTTGACCTCCTGACAATAAGCTAAATGATTATACACTGCATCTACACTGTTTCTGATGTGCTTTTGTGGTATATCCTCCATCACTCTTCGGATAACAATTCCCAAATTCTCGAGACTGCCGGGTCTTTCTTTGTGAACAATATTTTCAACATTTTACTATAAGAAGGAATCTGATGGTGTGAGATCAGGAGAACGCGCTGGCCATTCGATTATTCCCCATCTTCCTTTCCATCGGTTTCTGAATATGAAATCAAGATATTGCCTTTTATTGAATGCAGAATGCGGTGGTGCCCCGTCTTATTGAAACCAAATATTTTGACGTACTCCATCATTCCTATTTGGAAACAAATTCATCAAGGAAAATCTAATTCTGTAATAATATGAGGTATATGTTGCTAGTCTACGTTCGTCCAATCAATCAATCAAAATATGTTTTATTGTCTGAAGAAAAAAAAGCTCATTGACAAAGTCATACATAATGAATGAGAATACCTGATATCACAGTATATTTACCATCGGAGAACAGGATATTCCTAATGAAGTTGATATACCTCTCGCCATCAACGTTTCACAGAATGTATTTCTCCTTCCAGCTTCGCCGTCAATCAGTTCGTGGATGAAAACGTCCTGTTTTTCTAATATTCTTCACATTCCCAGTATGCTCGAATCGTTTCAAAGTTTTGGATACTGTACTTCGTGATATTGGTTCATGATCTGGGTGACTCGTATTTAAGAAATCGGAAACTTATTTGTGAGTTTTCCTTCTATCTCCGAATCCAATCATCATCAATATCTCAATACGGTCTCTTTCCGAGAGTTACATTATTATTATTGACAAAGAATTGTTGTTACACAGAATGATATATTTTTCAGCTTAGAAAATCATTAACATTGAATCAGAATTGTGTGATAATTAACACATAAGTATGACATTTCTCATCAGCCTCCTTCTTTAAACAGCTTTTAGCTTTTTTTATGTTCTGGTTCTCACGAAAAAGGATATCCTGTAATGTTCAGAGAACATCATAAGAACCAAGGAAAATAAGGTGGGAATTGGTGTTCTTCTTTAATTTCTGGAGGTTATATGCCTCGGGGAACACCTCTCCTGGCAATGTGTTCCAGAGCCTCGCTGTTCGTGAATATTGTGAATAACACCATAAAATAGTATATCAGTGAACTCTTTGAAAATTTATTCATCTAATGAGGGAGTTGATAATAATTCCTGAAAACTGAAAACGTGGCAATCTTGGCAATATAATTTTTCGATCCAGAAAGATCTAACCACTATATTTACTGAGATATATAGATGGTTCCATTCATTTGATTAACTCTGTATTATACTGGGCTTTTTTGCAGGTTGGAGATCAAATCATTCGAATAAATGGATTCACCATAGAAGATGCTGTCCATAAAGAAGTTCTTCAATTGATATCGAGTCATACCCATCTCACCCTCAAAGTCAGAAGTAAGTTTGAAACATGTCTATATGTATGTACATGAATGAAACATGGAAGGTTCTTGAACTTATTGTTTGTAATTATTCAGTAGACATAACCCAATAACGCAACATAATGAATTGATTCGTGAATATTCATCCAAATATGAGATTTTCAGAAACTGTTGAACCAAGAGCTTCTGAAATAGTGACTGATTTCCATTCACAAAAATCTCGCAGTAAATTCATTCGGTGATATCTGGGGATACAGAAAAAAACATAGATTGATCTGATGCCGAATTACTATCAGAAAATTGAAGACGATAGTGAAATAAGTAAGATGAAAAATTCGTTGCGACTAGGTTAGACTCATTATTGTGCTCACAGAAAAAAACACTGTGATCTGTAATGATAGCCTTTGAAATCACTCGAACTACGTCGATCGGAAAGGATGTCGAATCAAGAAAAAATAATTATAGTGATTGGAGTTTCATGGGGGATTTGAAATGATGTTACTCATTGATTTTGAGCAATACTCTGGTCGATTATAATCCATCATTCCTACTACCATTGAAGTATTACTGAAAATCATCAAAGTGATATAATCCTTTCAAATATAGAAATGTTGACGTGAAAATTGAGTTATCTTACTATAAAATGAATAGGTGATGTTCGCTTGATTCAAAATTAGGTACTGATGATAGTTGATTCTGGAAAATATTTTGTGAAATGGAAAATACACGAAATCCAAATTCAAGAAGGTACTGTCTCATTCGATAACATAAGAAGTAGGTACACTGCACAATTATTGGTCTATTGTTTTTTTTCTCTCTCAGAACGCATGAAAGAAAATTCCCATAATGTTCGAATAACATCGTGTGTACCTAGGGAAGATAGAAAGAGAGGAGGTAAGTATTTGGAATATTTTGAACTTATAGAGGTTTAAGTTCTTGGCAATACTTTCAATGAAAGAATTCCAAAGCTTTTCCGTCCTACAGACGAACGAGTGTTGGTAAAGAGTTGTTCGATGAATCTCAAGGTTGACAACGAAAGGATGTACTGACTGGGCTTTTCGAGTTCGTCTGACTGGTATTACTAGTGATGGAATAATAAACAAAGATTTCTGAGAAACATCTCCCCATCTCTATAGGAAAGTGAAAAGTCGCGGAGTTTCCTATGGTGTTCTGATGAGGTCAAAGAACTAGTAAGTGTGTAATGACCTTTATTTCTGGGGCCCTCACTTTGGCGCTTGTTTGGACAGAGACTACTCTGGTACATTTCGGGGGGACTCGGGCGCCAGATTGTTTATGAGGTGGTTTTCTCCACCTGCTCTGCACAAAACTATTTTTGTACAGAGGCCCAAAGTAGGAACAGTGGAGACAGGTATAAGAGGTATATCTACCTCGGTACCTACAGTATAAACCAGGGGTCAATGTTATTGAATCGACCTAGAATCAAGAAGCCACGGGAACGTAGGCTACATACCCTGGATTTAGCCTGGAATACTGGTTGCTATTTTTGTTCTGGATAACTACAGGAATCAGAGCAAATATCTTTGTCGAAAACGGGTCTCTGGTATTTTTAGGTTAGGCCTGGAAAATTATTTATTCAGGGCGCAATTTGTAACGATTGAATCAGACCTGAGGTCCATAAGAAAGCCAAGGGAGTGTATGCTTTAATTACAAACCCTGGGTTTAGCCTGAAATACTGGTTGTTATTCTTATTATGGATAATTACAGGGATGAAAGCAAATATCTGTCGAAAACATAACACGCGAAACCCGCGTAACTTTCACGGCCTGCGTATAACCCATACGGTTCGAATAAATCGAACGGCCCGCGGAACCCGAACGTCCTGCCACGTTCACTCTTATTAATCAGCCCGCCCCGCCGCGCATGGTGCACATTTCAGGCCAGTGGCGGCCTTTCTTGCGGTGCAGGTCGGCCGGGCCTATGACCGCTTGGATCTTCCCTGCCTGTGGAGAGCTCTAGATCACAGTAAACTGGAACCAGTAGTTGCAGCACTGACGGTTCGTTTGAAATACCCTCTTCGTTCACAATCCAGTCAAGGTACCTTGGATTCATTGTTTCTGTACTCACATTTGTATGCCCTTGAGGAGGAAAAATACTCATCTAAGTCATCAAAGCAATGAGCAAGCATGATAGGGATATCCTATGAATCGCCTTCATCACCCTGTTTTTTTGAGAGAAGAAATTGGTCCTTTGCAGTATTGTAAAATTCGACCCTTTTTCGCTATAATGTTACAAAGGGAAGTTGAAAACGTTATCCAGACCACATATTTATTCGGAAAATCGAATGACGAATGAATTTTTTAATATTGAAAATGCTATTTCAAAACCTGTGAATTCAAACGCTACTAAGCTGTTTCGTCAGTGTCTTCTTGCAATTTGATTGGTTGGAGTTCTGAGGACTCGGAATCACTCCGCTGTTGCCAGATTATTATAAAATCCTTGAATTGATCCTATGTACAAGATGGTGCAGGGAATGCGATGATTGGAAATAACTATGTAGTAGGTGATTAGTTGATTGGTAATTCATTGAAAATTACATCCAATTCACTCTGAATTCCAAAGTATTACATTAGTTTCAAGATTAGCTAGGATAAGATGTAATGCAAGCATCTAACAGTGAGACACTTTTCAAATATTCAGTTTGGTTTCAATCATGTTGAGATCCCGTTGACTGATAATTGTTTTTATCAACAAATTGAACAGTGTTACTATATCTCAAGCACTCATTACCAGAAATTCCAATTGCTGATTTGGCAACTATGGCTACAAGGAAATTGCTTACCTACGACCACTATAGAAAGTAGAGAGAACACGCGAGATACAGCCTCAGTAAGTAGCTCTTTACGCACAGTAAGCACATCGCACAGTTTTCGTTTATACCGCCAGTAAGGGTATGTCATGATCGCGTAATCAGACTGTTTCTCCAAACTTTTTTGATGTACTGTATGGCAGTAGATAAAGTATAGTACGTAATGCGTGTTGTAAAGCAATTACGCACTCATGGAATTACGCTCTCGCCGCTCCGCCGCTACGTGCCTAACTTTTCCATTCGTGCGTAATATGCTTCTTACAACACATATTACGTGATATACTATTAAAATAATACATTTCCGTCGACCTCGTATTAACGACTAAGTTTAATGTATATGAAATCGTTCATTAATGACCCCTATTAATGAACGATTTGTCTATTAATACACGATTGTTTTATAGGCAACCAAACATACACCGCGTACATTCATTGTATATGCTATAACTTACGAAATCTGCATTTAAATCGAAAATATGGATTTCATCGACGATTTTCCGTTAACGGGTTCGCCTTTCCAAGTTTCTGACACGATATTAATCCCTGTTTTCTAACACAAGGAATGTATTTCCTATGTTGATCATTTCGACAAATGTCAAATGTGTCTAATGTCAGTAACAAGGCTACTGGGTGATTCTTAGCAGTTTCCAGATGGATGATGATTTGGCGAACCAAGTTTTCTTCATTGCAGGAGAAATGAGAAATATAGTTGACGGAAAAATTTTGTAACCAACTTGTATATTAAAAGGCGATTAATGATCTCGAACATTAACGAACTCGCTTCGCTCGCACGTTAAATTATCTCGATCATTAATCGCCCTCATTAATACACTAGTTGGTTAAATAACTATTTCTCGCATAGCTTCACTGCTCATATTGACAAGGAGGCAGTGATGCTTGCACTAGAATCAATAGAAATAAAACCAAGTAAGCACTTCAGTATTGATTGTTTCAGAATTTATTTCTTTCCTTATTGTAGATAGGAATAGGTAGGTACATAATAGGTGAGTAACGAGGTGATTACCTCAACTTGAAAGTATCTCACTGGAAGAGTTTTGAAACTGTCATGAATATCTGCACTGCAATTCGATACAAAATCAAATTTCATATACAATTTTGAATATTTCTCCAACAGAAATCAACCAACGAACGAATCATGCAATGCGAATTTTTGATACCACGAATTTTCAAGTAAGTAAATATTAGTTGAGTTATTCAACAGCATCTGTATTGTTTGCTGAAATGAAGAAAATCGAGCAATGAATATCCTACTAATCATAGCTTTCTGTCCAAATGGGCAACATTGTCAATTCCATCGTGCATTTTATTGCCAACCGCAAGAAGGTGAGGGAATTACCAGTCCAAATTGCTTGCATACTGACGTCACACGTTTCGCAGCCATGTCTGATCGTTTGAAATCGCTCGTTCATTTTGGCATTTTGAATAATTTTTTATACGATAAATTGATGGAGAAAAATCCCAAAAAATAGTATTAAGGTATTCCAAAGTCATATATTTCAAGATATATTTTTTCTAGAAATGACTCAAAAGGCCCTTTTTCGATGCCAAATATCATACCATAATAATAATAATAATAATGTGTCTTTATTTTATAAAAAAACTTGGTAACACAAACTATACAATAGTGCTGGCGCCATTCGGCCTCGGCCGCTCTTCCATGTAACCAGCTAATATTCAACAACTGTTAAAAAACGATCCATATGTGAATATAAAATAAAATGAACTGTTATCTAACTATATATACTAAAATATCCTCATATCTATAATATATATATATAATAATAATAATAATAATATATTGATGATAAATAATCATAATACATAATAATAACAAAAATAATAGCAGCATCTATAATATTAATAATGATAATAATAGAAATATTGATTATAATAATAATTAGAAATAATAAGTGATATGCACCATAGTAATAATCCCATGTACAACTTGTATATAATCTGAGCAGAAGTTGAAAAATTGCAATGAATAATTCTTTACCTTTTGTTAATGATCAGTTCTTTGATCTGTTTTCTGAATGATGATATATTAGAGCTATCTTTGATTTTAGGTGGCAATTCATTATAAATTTTCACGGCATTATATGAAAAACTTCGCCTAAAATGGGCACACTATACAGTTCTCGATTGCGGGTAGAACACTGATGAAAATC